GTTCGGGCGGGGGGAGGGCGAGGGGAGCGGCGCGCGCGGGGGGGCGCCCCTGGCGCCGCCGCACCAGCGCCCGCCCCGCCCAGCCATTGGAAGAGGGATTTGGGTCCAGGCCGTCTGTTGCTCTAAATCTAGCTCTCGCCATGGCGCCGCGCACATTGGTTGCCGCGGAGTGATGGACGGAGGTGGCATGAGACCTGAAATTAAATTCCTGCCTCGACGCCACGCACGACAGTTTTTGTATATAACAATCACGTGGGTCGAGGGGGTGCGTTACTCAATGTGGCATTCTCGCCTCAATGCCGCGAACATGTGCTATATATCCCCAGTTCTAGCGGATTCACATAAGGGCGACTCAAAATGGAGCTCACGCCTTAGCGCAACACGTAATTGGCTTACAACATTGCTGCAGTTCCACGGATGGAGGGCGCGTCCAATGTGCAATTGCCGCCTCAGTGCCGCGCACATTGGGCCGCTGTGAGAAGGAGTGCGTGCATGGACATAAAAGGGGGGGTGCGAGCAAAAGAATGAAAACAAAACAACAAAACGCAACGACACAAAGCCGTGCAGCCGGTTTGGTTCAAGCCTTTCGGCGCAGACCAGATCCGTGTTTCTCAGGATGAATGGGTCGACCCCGAAGGCCAAAATGATGGAGAGTGGCGCAGCCGAGAGCCCGCCCAAACCAGAGCCAGTCCCGAGGACACGTTACGGTGAGGAGATCAACGGCGCTCTGACTGAGGCACTCACACCGCTGGTCGATGACAAAGGCCGGCCCATGTACGGACACGCCCTGGCATCGGAGATGCTGGACCGCGGCAGGGTTGAGAAGTCGGGGGAGGTGCTGAGAGCGATTCGCCAGGTGGCCTGCTGATTTAACGTTTGTCATCTCTTGCTCCTGCCCCTTCGCTTCTCCTCATCTGCCCTGTCGCGTCGTCGGCTGCGCGCCCCCATCCTTGCCCAGGCGGCGCCGAACTTCTCGATCGCCCCGCACGTGGTGGAGGAGGTCATGGCCAACATCGGCACGGCCAAGAAGGACGACATCAAGTTGAGAGAGGTTGAGTCCTGGGCCAAAGGCGCGTCGCTGAGGCTCCGAAGTCTCTTGCTTCACGCGGCTGGCCTCGCTCGCAAGGAGAAGCCGCCGAACAGGGCTCTTGCGTGGTGGACCAACCTCATGGCCAACGAGAGCAAGGTCCCAGAGCCGAAGAAGGCAGCGCTGCAGAAGAGCAACGTGAAGGACGAGACCAAGCCCGATAAGGAGCCCAAGCCCGAGGAGGGATCCAAGCCCGAGGATGCGTTCACGTTCGGATACGACGAGAGCATGAAGCGTGCATGGAGATGCGATGCATTCGCGGATCGATTTCAGCCTGAGGTTTGCGACAGCATGACCGTCAAGCCAGGCGAGACCTACGTCTGGGCGAAGTGGGCAGACGGAATGGAGTGCGAGGTGCTGGACTGCTTGGCGTCGGCCTTTCTCGAGGATGCTGGACCTGCGCCCTCGAAGACGCCGCGAGGGGGCAACATCTTGTGGACGGGCAACGTGGACGGCCTCCAGGTGCAGGTCAAGTTTGTGATGCATAGGGGGATCAAGCTGATTCAGATCAAGCACAACTTGAAGCAGGTTACGCAGATCTCCACGCACGCCGTCGAGGAGGCGGAGGCGGTGGATTTCATGAAGGACATCGCGAAGCGCTACTGCGAGGGGCGCCTCACGGCCCAAGACGCCGAGCAGCTGAAGAGGGAGAAGCTCAAGGAGCTGAAGAAACGCAAGGAGAAGGACGAGAAGGCGGCGGCACTGGCTGCGACCAGCGCAGCTTCGTCCATCGAGACGCAGCCTGCGGAGACGGCGGTGCGGAAGCGCCCAGCTGCCGCCCCCAAAAGAGCTTGCAAGAAAGCCAAACACAAGGAGCCCGACAAGGAAGCAGCCACCGAGGAGAAGGGCGCACCCATGAATGGAGTGGAGAACCTGACGATCGTCGAGAAGAAGCCCGAGGAGAAGCCCCATGAGGGCAAGGAGGAGCCTCAGCCGCTGGAGAACCCCCAGGAAGCAAAGGAGGGGCCACCAGAGGAGACGGGCGAGCCCGCGAGCGAGGTCGTCGAACCCATCGACGACGACTCCGCGGACGATAGCCCCGATGATATCCGAGAGATCCCGCCTCCAGTGACTGGCCCGTGGGAGAGTATGACCACCTCGCTGAACACCATGATGGACGATGTTGTTGAGTGCTCTGATTTCTGGAACAATGCGTTTGACGATGATGATGCGTGAACCGTGCACGGCATGTCGCCACGATGAGTTTGGTCTATGTGCGAGAAGGATTTTCAGATGGCTTGGCGGGGGAGCTGAGCCCACCGATCTCTTGAGCCTTTCTATTTCTGTGTTGTGTACAGTTGCGTTCATTCTGGTGCGCACTGCGTCGCTAGCGCTCTCGTCTCAAGTGTGTTATGTTGTTTTCCTCTCGCGCTCAGTTCTTTCAGTTTGCCAAGCTCGGGCAGACAGCGAAGCTGTCCAACGCACTCCAGGTGTGTTTCCAGGGGGCCGATTGAACCTCAAACACTTGAAGCCAAACGTACCACAGCCGAGCGAAACACGAGCATGACGACACACGAGCATGACGAAACACAGCTGAGGAGGGTAGGGAAAAGGATAATCGTTGGAAACAGGATGACAAACAGACGGCGGAGGAAAACACGGATAACGATAATGATGGCTCTGAGAAAATCGCTATGCCGTCAGCGTCGTCAAGATTGCTCGAGACCCTGACCCCTCTTGGACGAAATGCCACAGCACGTGCGGCATGCGAGATACCGTGGGCATTGGACCACGGAGCGTTGCTTCTCTGTTCTCTGGGGCGCAAAGATGGGCGCGAAGGGCCTGGGCCTCTACCCCCAACCCCGCCAGACAAGGGAGAGGAACGGGAAAGGGGAGTTGGGGGAGGTGGCGGTGCAGGAGCGGAGGAGGGAAGGGTCCAGAAGATGGGTGTGGTTGAGACCGAAAGGGTGTAGGTGAGGAGGTTGGTCCGAGGAACGCCCCAAAGGACCCCAAGAACCTGGCGATACGCAGATCGACACAACTCGCGGCCCCCCCCCCAAAGCGAATGGGGGGTCGGGGAGAGGGGCTCGACTCTTCGAGAAAGAGAGATCACACGTTTCACTCTGCCTCCGTGAGATTGCCACCTGCTGCCGCAAGTGCCGTGGCGCCCAATGGGACATCAAGCTCGTGAAAAAATATGGTTGACGCTTCGCGAATCCCCGCCAGCCCATCCAGAACCAATGCCCAGAGGAATTGCCTCGATCAGGGAAGTGGGCAGCACGCAGAGGAAGCCATTATGAGACATCTTGGGGTATATTGGGCCATCTTGGAGGTCATCTTGAGCTCCCCCAGGCGCTCTTGGAGTCATCTTAATCAGCCCCCCCCCCCCCAGAGGCCAACATGTTGCTAACACCTTCATAAAATCAATGATTTGGCATTCTCGCCGAGGCCTCTTGGAGCATCTTGGGTGCTTCTGGGGTCTCTTGGGGCCTCTTCGGGGTCTCTTGGGAGCCTCGTGGGGGCGTCCTGAAGGCCTCTTGGAGCTTCATGGCCACCTTGGGGCCCTCTCGGGGCACCTTTGGGAGCCTTGGGGGCAGTCGTTGGGCCATCTTGGGTGAGATCGATCAGGAGGGGGGGCATTAATTACAGCCCTCCCCAGGAGGCCAAAATGGGGCCCAAACCATAATACAACCAATGATTGTGGCTTCCTCGCCGAAGTCGTTTTGGGCGCACTCGCGGACCCCCCGTCCAGGTCCAGGGGAGGGGGTAGGGGGGAGGGGTAAGCCCCTCCCCGAAGGGGAAGAAGGAGGGGTGGACTAGGAAACGCTCTAAACCACCGACGCCCAGAGGGCTGATGGGATTCAAGCAGGCATGTTGATACCGACCCCAAAGGAAATCCAGCGATTCGGTCCAACAACGCGAAACACGCCCTTGCCCACTAAGGCTTTTTCAGGGCCAGAAACCTGGTAGTGGGCAGGAGCTTTTCGGCTGGTTGTTGAGCGCATTCAAATAGCTTACGCCACCCTGCTGATATATCAGAAGAAGGTCTTCCCCCCTCCTCCTTATCCTCCTCCTCCTCCTTCTCGTCTGCCCTTATCAACTCCGTCTTGATCTCTTCTTGTCCACCTGCCCGTTCCGAGCACCCTCCGCCCCAGCCGTCGCTTGGCCCGCGTGGGTGGTTTGCCCAAGAACAAATCGTTGTGCCAGAATACTATGAAAATAACGGGCAGTGGATTGAGTGGGTTCGGTACCTTAGGAACCCGCCACCCCAGCCGCCTCCGCCGCCCCCGCGACCCCCCCATGTCAGCCGAAGGGCTGGCGGAGCTCGAGGCAATAATCGGTTGGGAAGAACTCGGGGCCATGATCGCTTGAGGGGAGATAGGCTCGCCTCATCATGCTCTTGCTCCTGCGCCTGCTTCTGCTCTTGTTTCTGCCTCTGCTCTTGCCTCTGCTGCTGGTCCTGCTCCTGCTCATGATCCTGCTGCTCCCCCTCCTCCTCCTCCTCCCCCTCCTCCTCCTCCTCCTCCTCCTCATCCACCTCCCCCCCCTCCTCCTCCTCCTCCTCCTCGTCCCCCCCCTCCTCTGCCCCGCCCCCAGAGTGGGGTAATTGGGGGTGAGAAGGAGGGGGCAAAGAGAGTTGTTCGAAAGAGTCGACACGTATGCCGCGCAAAACAGAAGCAACGGGCAACGCATGCAATTACGTACGTTGCATCATACGAAATCGCACGGCCAACCTCATAGACAAGCAGGAAGCAGGCAGCATATAAAACACGCAGCATAAGCAGAAAGCACAGAGCTGAAAGGCAACTGGCAAAGCATGCAATTGCACATAATGCAACATGTGACAGCACGCATCACGCAGCCAACCATAGTTCACAGTACCATCGCCGTTTTTTCTCAGTTCTAGCTGGACGCACTGCGGCGTCCTGTTGTGTGAACCTCGCATCACACTTTCGAGGATCGACCTTTCCTGATGACAGTCCTGGTTGAGAGCCTCGACAAGGTCGCGGCGGGCGCCCCCTCCCCTGTCCCCACGACGGCATCGGGGTCCAATGCAGGAGGAACTCCAGCTGTGACGCCTTCGGCAGCGAGTGCGCCCCAGACACCCTCAGAGGCCGCCCCGCCCGCGCCCATTGAGGTCCATGACCCCCCCGAAGCTCCAGCTGATGGGCAGGGCGGCGGGCAGCTCAACAAGCAGGGGCCCGAAGGTACGTTCCTTGAGGATAGCCAGCGTGAGGAGACCTTCACAGTGCCAGGCAATCCACGTGACATCGCTGCTGCCAGAGCCCCCGTTCCGGAAGCCCCCGCATCGCAGCCGCCCGCGCACTTGTCGAGACCCACGTTTCCGCGCGAGGGCATGTCGGAGCAGCAGTACAGCGAAGTCGTGGCAGCAGACAGGGGATTCTGGCAGAGGGTCGAGGCGCTGCCAGGCAGGGCAGCCGAGAAGCCCGACGGCCCGCCCGACGGCCCGCCCGACGGCCCGCCAGACGGCTCGCCCGACGGCCCGCCCGACGGCCCGCCCGACGGCCCGCCCGACGGCCCGCCCGTCGACGGCCCGCCCGACGGCCCCCCCGCGTCCCAGAGGGCATGAGCCAGGAAGAATTCCTGCGCAGCTTGTCGAGCCAGCAGATGGGGAGGGGCCGCTACGACAAGCATGAGCTCGATGGCGAAGACGATGCAGGCAGGGATCCCCACCTGGAGGAGGCCGAGAGGACCAATTTCGAGATCAATGCTCGCAGCCCTCTGGGCTGGCGCTTCCAGAGGGAGTTGGCCTCGGATAAGGAGCTGAAGAAGTCGTGGCTCGAGCGCAGGGGCAACCACGCGAAGCAGGCTTTCAGGCAGAAGTGGTGCAAGGCAAAGTTCGAGATGTACAGGAAGAGCCGCGAGATGATCAATCGCCATCAGGTCGTGACTGCAGACATGGGCGTCTACCACCCCCTGGACAGGATCAAAGTCGACGAGGGAAACACCGAAGAGGCGGCTGAGCGTGCCTGGCGTTACGCATACGCGTGCGTCATGATGGGCACCCAGTGGTACCGCTTCAACGTCATGACTAGAGCCATGGAGTTCCTGTACGTGAAGCAGCAGTACAATGATATATTCACGCAGTGCTGGCAGACTACGCAGCGCGAGGAGAACAGAGGCCGCCTTCTTGCAGAATTCGCTGAGCCCGAAGGGCGTACCACGTTCGAACCAGTTCGTGCAGCTGCAGGTGCAGCGCCGCCATCTGCAAGCGGCGGCGCGGCGGTCAGCGCAGCCTCGCGCAGCGGCAACGGACCTGCGCCCGCAGCTCCATCCGCAGATGCACCCGCAGCTCAGCCCGCAGCTGCGCCCGCAGCTGCGCCCGCAGCTGCGCCCGCAGCTGCGCCCGCAGGTCCAGCTGCGCCCGCAGCTGAGCCCGCAGCCGCCGCGGCGCGCGCGGCCCAGGAGGAGGCCGCCGTCGGCGACGAGGCGAGGGAACCGCCCAACAAGAGGTCGAGGAAGTCTGTGAGGGGCCAGGCTCTGTCGCCGAAGCCAGCACCTGCGACGCCGAAGGGCAAGGGCAAGGGCAAAGCTAAGGCTAAGGCCAACGCTTCAGCCTCTAAGGACTTGAGGGCCAAGATCAAGGATGCGCAGCAGCTGAAGGTGGCGCATGGCCAGGCGAGCTCCTCGATCGCTTGCATCTCAGCCCAGATTGCAAATTATCCCGACTGGTCGTGGCTGAAAGACAGCGTGCTGGTGGAGCCGATGACGAAAGCCAACGACGACATGATCAAGTATGTGTTCTCCAATCCCATCGCGACCATGCTTATCGGCCAGAATGTAGAGCAGATTCAGGCGAGCTACGATGACCCTGCCCAGATGGATGTCCAGTTGGCGACCCTGACCAGCGACCTCGGCGAGTTCGTCGACAGGGCGCAGAAACAGGCGGACAAGCTCTCGAGGATGCATTATGAGAAGATGAAGGAGTATTGAAACGCTAACTGAGGTTCAATTCAGATACAGGCTGGAATGGGTGACAGTTGATATGCGATTGGGTGAGGCTCTTACACTGTAAGTTCTCGTGCATGCGGTTTGTCAGAGCCAGCTTGTGCAGCGCGCGTCATAATATATCGTGCGCGCGTGATCTGCGCGTCTTACTTTTCTCGGGCGTTCGACTAAGTGTCGAACGCAGTCGCCGCAGGGGTTGGCGACCAGTGCGCCTGTGCATTCGCCTGTGACGAGCCCTGCCTTTGCCTCGAGGGCTCTCCTGGGGGCAAACGTAGCAGGGTAGAACGTCCAATGTTGGGTAGGGTTAGTTTTTTTTTTTTTTTTTTTTTTTTTTTTTTCAACGGACAACGGCTAATCAGCGGCGGGCCCCGGTTGTTTTTCAGGGTCGGAGCTTGTTTTTCTGACAAATGCCCGTTCTGCAGGCCGGATTTTGGCCAACCCCGGTTGTTTTTAGGAACCCCGGCTGTTTCTAGGACGGAAAAAGGGCCGCTGATTTTGCGCTGATTTTGCGCTGGGTTTGCGCTGATTCTCGCAGATTTTTCATTTTCAGCTGTGTTTTTTTACCGTGTTTCGTGCCGCTGATTTTCCGCTGATTTTCCGCTGATTTTCCGCTGATTTCCGTTGATTTTTCTCCTGAAATCATTGGGCCCCAGGGACCCCCAGAGCAATTTCATCGGCTCGAGGACCCAAAAATCACCGAAACCACCCAACAATAGGCGTAAAAGGGTTCAAACGTTCTTCTTTGAAGCGATCCACCCGTCTCGAGCCCCCCCTGGCCCTCAGATGCTCCAGTTCGCAGGCGGGTGACCTGCGCATCACCCTCATTATCTAGGGGAAACTACGCATTGAGCAAAAATGTGGCAGTAGGAGGGTACTGGACCGAGGGTGGGGGGGTGGGATAAGGGGCAGGATGGGGCAATGAAGGACGGGGTTGGCAGGAAGGGGACGAAGATGAAGGTGTCCAGGGGGCTGAGGCTGCCTACTCAAGACGGATATTGAATACAGAGTGAGAAGTAGAAAGGTCGAGGACAAAGATGACGATGAGGAGGAGGAGGAGGAAGGTGGAGGAGAAGGAGGAGGAGGAGGAGGGAGATGAAGATGAGGAGGAGGAAGAGGAGGAGGAGGAGGAGGAGGAGGAGGATGAGGTAGATCCCGCAGCGCGGTTCCAATTTCAATGGCTCCGATGGATTCTGGAACCAACGATGCGCGTCAGGAGGAGGAGTAGGAGGTAGAGGAGGAGGAGCAGGAGGAGGAGGCGGGAGGGGGAATCACGTGGAGACTGAGGATCAGGAGTTCAATCAAAAAGACAACTTCGACTGACTTGGGACGGGCAGGACACGCGTGAGACGATCATCGGTCCGAAAATGAGGATGAGGGTTTGAACGCATGGGGAACATTCGAGGGGCATCGGGGAGAGGAGGAGGAGGAGGAGGAGGAGGAGGAGGAGGAGGAGGAGGGACGTGACATACTTGAACAAGGAAAGCGAAGAGGAGGAGGAGGAGACTGGTAGGGAGGAGGAAGAGGAGGTAGAGGGAACCGACACGACTTGGCACTAGGTGGAGGAGGGAAGAAAATCAGGAGGGGGAGAAGGATGAGGAGGACGGAGAGGGTAAGCTAAGAGCGAGCGGTCGCCCCCCCCCCCGCTTGCGCCGCCTCTCTTACGGCCTGGACATCTTCATTGCGAAGGCCATTGGCGCTGCTCTGCCCGCGAGAGCGCCCTCCTCCTCCACCTCCCTCCTCCACTGTGGAGCCCGTCGCAAGGCGGCGTTTTTGTCCACGCTTAGCCCACGATATGTAAGTTTGAGCCCCTGCGGTATGTCGGTGTGTATGTATGTATGTATGTATGTATGTATGTATGTATGTATGTATATGTATATAGATATAGATATAGATATACTATTAACCGTTGCTTCAAATGTGTTATACGTATGGGGTACTTTGGGGGCCCAAGATAGCACCCGAGGAACCCCTCCCACCAACACGAAACAAACAAACGCACGCACGCACGACAACACTCGCACGCCAATGGGCTCCGTCTAATCCGTTTTGTTGTTGGGCGCCCCCAAGGATGTGGGGTCATCTTTAGTGGCTCTCTAAAGATGCTCTGCTGGTCTTCTCGGGGTTCTCTTGTCGGGGGCCTGACGTGTCCACGGGGCAGGGCCCGAGGCCAAGGTGCCTATTAAAGACTGGGGAGGGAATGCAAGACACTGCCTCGGCACGGGAAAGGGGAGCGCGGTGGATGGGAATAGGTGGGATGCGAACGGTCCAACCACCCTGCGGGTCTCGGCAAAGCGGGCTCTCTGGAGGCAAACGTAGGGGGGGGGGGGGGTCCTTGGATCGGGGGGCATGGCCGACGTCGCTTGGCGAGGGGCAATGTTCCGTTTGCCCCCGCCCCAGCTCTCGCCCGTAGCCGTCATGGCTAAGAAGGGGGGGCGTCAGACACACACATCGCCCCCTGGTGATTTCGCTCGTTCAGATGATGAGAGAACAGAAGCCGGTGATAATCTAATCCAATGCCTGTTGGAGCTCTATGCCAGATGTGTCCTGGGCGCAAAAGATGTTTGTGTGATATCCCATTACGCATCAAAGGCTGGTGCCGTGGGTGGTGCACGTGATTTCGCATGCAGTCCGACGTCCTCCAGCGGCAATGTTGTAAAACACCTCGACACGTTGCTCCCGACAAGGCCCGAGAACCTGGAGTTATATAACCTTTGGGCGCCACAGAACGTCCGGAAAAGGTACTCCTCCTTCGCCCCGTGCTTCCCCTGCCCCTCCTTGGCCGTCCCTCATGCCCCCCTTGTTCCACGCCATTGCTCTCATCATGCCCGCCTTATCTGCCTACACCTCCGTCTTTTGCATGCCGCCCCCCTTCCTCCTCCCCCCCCTCCTGCTGATAGGTTTGTCTCGTGTTCAACGTGCAACGCCTTGCGTTTTACCTCGCGAGGCGTTTCGCGACGAGCTAGCCGCTGACCCCAGCATCAGCGAAAAGGTCCAAGCCATGTACGATAATGACGAATGGGAACCTGTGTATCGGGACCATCCTTTAGTTCAGCAAGCTGTGCGCAACAATGAAAAGCTGCCTGTCCCTCTCGCGGTTGACGTTGACGGCGTGTCATACACTAGACAGAAAACATCTGCCCATCAAGAGTCCCTGATATGCTTCGTGATGTACAATCTTATCACATGCAGGAGACATCTCATTTGCGTGGTGAGAAAATCGTCGCTGTGTGGTTGTGGATGCAAGGGGTGGGATACTTTATTTCATATATTCACCATGCTCCGATGGTCAATCAAAGCCATGGCGGAGGGGGTTCGGCCGACCGTAAAACACAACTGGAAAGAGTGGGAGGCTTCTGAGGTCTGGGGCAGCCTTTCAGCTGATCTCGGCTACAAGGCATGCGTGATTCAACTGAAAGGGGACTGGGCTGAGTGGGTAACCACGCTCGGATTCGCATCGTGGAATTCTGTGTACCATCCATGCCCCATGTGCTCATCTGTGCAATGCACCTTGCATGAGTACAACAACATATCGTTGGTTGGTCTTCCATGGTGTGATCCAGTGAATTGTTGACGCTTCGCGAATCCCGACCAGCCCATCCAGAAACGATGCCCAGAGGCATCGCCTCGATCAGAAAAATGGGCAGCACGCAGAGGAAGCCAGCATGAGACATTTTGGGATACCTGGAGCCGTCTTGAAGTCATCTTGGGCTCTCCCAGGTGCTTGTGGAGTCATCTCTTAATCAGTGTCCCCCCCAAGAGGCCAACATGTTGCGACAACCTTCGTACAATCAATGATTTGGCATTCTCGCCGAGGCCTCTTGGAGCATTCTGGGTGCCTCTGGTGGGTCTCTGGGGGACTCGTGAGGGTCTTTTGGGAGCCTCTTGGGGGCATCCTGGGGGCATCTTGGGGCTTCCTGGCCACCTCTTGGGGCCCTCTTGGGGCACCCTTGGGAGTTTGGGGGGCAATCTTTGGGCCATCTTGGGTGAGATCGATCACGGGAGGGGGGGTGGTAATTACAGTCCCCCCCAGGAGGCCAACATGGGGCCAAAACCTTAATACAACCAATGATGTTGGCTTCCTCGCCGAAGCCGTTTTGGACGCTCGGACGGCTCGCGGAAACCCTTGTCCAGGTCCAGGGGAGGGGGCGGGGGGAAGAAGGAAGAGGAAACTCTTTAAGCCACCTACGCCCAGAGGGCGGGTGGGATTACCAGGATGCGTGCAGTGCCTGCGAGATCGACCTTGTCTTGGATACCCAGGACAAGTGGCAGGCATTGTTCGCTGATGGAGGGCCGCGCTATGACAGGCGCTTTGGCCGAGTCCTCCAGAGGGAAGTGCGCGTGGGAGGGGTGCTCCTCAGAGCTGGCGATCGTCTCGTCCCCAACTCTGATCTGGTTGACGTGGGCTTGCTGACGCGCCAGGCGCTTCCGTTCCGGGTCACGTTCTGGCGTCGCCGAACGGACGCGGGCGGTGCGCTGCTGGACCCAGTGACGCGGAGGAATCCAATATTCGATGCGCCGCTGGGGATAAGCCCCCAGACGTCTATCTGCATAGACACCCTTCACACGCTGCACCTGGGCGTGGCTGCGAGAGCGGTGGCGGTCGCGTCGTGGGCGGTGATCACAGCGAATCCCTGGCACCACCCTGGCCCTGGCGAGGTCATGGTGGAACACGCTTGCCGCACTCTTAGACATGAGTTGCAGGAGTTTTATGAATCGGAGAACATCCCTCTGTCTAGTAGGATTGGCAGGCTGACGCCAGGGATGCTCGGCAGTGCGTTTGCTCCTGAAATACACACCAAGGGAGCGGAGACAGGGTACTTGCTCAAATTCATCGCCCATATCAGCAGCAAGCAGTTTTCCAGGCCGATAGCTGCGTGGAGATATTCAATGCGTGCAAGCATTTGGTGGAATACATGAACGTGCTCAAGACATCGCCAGGTCGAAAGATCCCGCCTCATACACATCAGAAGTTGTTAACGTTGTGC